TGAAGCTTTTGTGAGTGCCATCACCCAGTGATAGGGTTTTCCGTGACAAAGCTGCCCACTATCACCCATGATCCTGTAGCTGCTGGATCCCAAACCCTGTCAGCACTTCCCTGGCACAGATGCGACAGCAGGACAAACCCTTCCCACTCTCTGAAAAGAATTTATAATGGCAAACCCTTCAGCATCTTAAAAATGTGTGACAGCATCTGTGGCACCAACAATTAAAAGACTTTGAACAATGGCACTCAGCTTGGGTGAAAAAAATGTCACCACCCAGGAGCCATAAGGTGGTTGGTTGGAAATCTCAGTGCCATGGGTAGGCTACCTCCCTAGAGGTTTTTGAAGATAGGTCTCTGGGAGCCCACATACCAAAACAGCCTGTCCTATTATGGGCTGCATCCCAGAATGTGATGGCAGTTTCCCACTGCTGAAGCCAGGTGCTTTGATCATAGGGCATGCAGAAGCCAAGCTGGGTCTGAGCTGGAAGCTTCTCTCTGTATCTGGCTCATAGTCCCAGAAGGAACTATACTGGCTGCTGAAGAAACAGCATCTCCGACTGTCCTGCATGCTACATTGTTGTGATAGTGTGTGAAATAGCCCCTGAAGGGTCATGTGTCCCCAGCTGGTGACACTGTTTGGAATCCTTGAGGAGGCAAAACCTTGCTGGAAGAAGAGAGTCACTGTGGTGGGCATTGAGGTTTAATGGCCTGGCCCCTGCTTCCTGCTCCTGACATATGAACAGAATATGTGACAGGCATAACAATGTGAAGACCGGCTGTACCTCAGCCGCTCTGTTTATTGATGGCACACACACACACACACGTAAAAATGCAATAAAAATATATAAAATTCACCCCTTCTCTATAGTGATTCATAAGGAATGTGTGTTGTTCACATATCCCCAAGGATAGTTATCTTTTGGAGAAGAAACCAAACAGGTCTGTTTTACGTGTGCTTTAAGGAACACAAAGGAGAGGGTCCCCAGCTTTGGTTGTATTCTGTAGTCAAGGGACTGTCCCCAAATCTCAGCAGAATTCATCTCCCACTCAGCACCACTAGCTTTGTTGTACCATGAGAACTGTACCCTGCGGGATAAATCACCCCAGTGCAGCGGCTTAAACCTGCATGCGCTCACCAGCCCACGGTTTCTGTGCCCGTCTCTCACACGCTGCTGTTGGGAGTCCGTGGGCTGTGCTTCCTTCCATCTGGATGCTCGGCTGAACAACGGGCTCCAACTCTTAGGAGCTGGGGGCTGTGTGACTGGCACTCTAGCTCCTTGCTGGGGAAATTGTCTGAGGACAGTCGCAGGTCCTGTATGTGTGTGTGTGTGTGTGTTACGTGTGTAGTGTGTGTGTGATCTGTGTTTGTGTGTGTGTTGTATGTGTGGTTTCTGTGTGTGGTATGTGTATAGTGTGTGTGGTGTATGTGTAGTGTGTGAGGTGTGGGTGGTGTGTGTGATGTGTGTGTAGTGTGTGGTATATGTTATGTAGTATGTGTAGTGTGTGTGTATGTGTGTGTGTGTAGTGTGTTTTCTATAATCTGCCCACAGTTTCTGT